TGCAATATTTGTAGTTTTCGAAAAAATAAGAGAAACGGTACTTTGGATCAAGTTTTGTCCCATGTGTTCCATGAGAATGGCACATCCTTGGATGCTTAGGAAATAGTGTAAATAAATTCAGCGCTCTATGTTCAACAATTTTGATGCTCTACCGATAAAAATACAACCATACGACGAAGTGCAATTTTTTGTGGGTGCCAATACGTTTTTTCCCAGGAGTTTGTTTTGAACCTTCATTCCAAAAGAAGGCCATGTTCTAGCTGTTTTTTTTTTATAGGAGCATTATTTGCAGGAAAGCTAGTATTGGGAGTACATTAGCAGGAAGTTCTGAAGTGGGGATTATTTTATCTTTTTCTTCCATAGCACGGGCAGGAGTGCCAATTTCGTTTCAGCGAACTGAATGAAGTTACGTCACTAACTCCTTGCGAAAGCACCGATGGACTGGATAGCCTAGACAACCTTCAGGTCAGTCTAGGGAGCATTTCAACTTTCGTAAGAATATTTCTCCATTGTGGAAACTGTTTAATTGCATATTTTGCATATTTTTGGGACCACTTAACCTTGAGATTTGGCCTTCAAATCACCACCAGTGGCTTATCCTCCTCACCAGAGATACTGCATATAGCAAAATGCTCCTGCCTTAAGAGTGCATTGATGTTCTGTTGCACTTAGGATTTTTCTTAAGGAGGGTATCAAGCAATTGCAATGGAAGTAATTCGGCTTTTTTAAAAATTTAGTTTCTATTTCTTGAGGAAATGCAATATTCAACACCCCTGTCTTCATGTGAAGAGTGAAAATAACATTTTCTTAATAGGCATGAAAGGTCCATTTTCAGATGAATTTGATATTAGACACTTTTTGGCAATGTTGCTTAACCTGTTATTGTCTCCTAAATAATTTGGTAAGTTATTTGCACGAGTCAGCAAAATCGTGAACTACAAGGTATTTAATATGGCTCAGTAAGAGTATATTTCCTGTAAATCCATTGCTTAATCATGATGAACATAAATATGTTCACTTCAAAGAGACATTTACTTCTGGAATATTTGATATTTAATTAATTGTAGTCTTGGCCTGAATAAGACTATGATTGACAGGCTTTAAATTACATATTTACTTAACTTACAATAGACCTACTCTTGAAAACTCTTACAACGAACTATTCTCGTAATGAACTCAACGAACCATTTAGGATGCTGATGAGGGTAGATGATATTGATGCTTCTCTTCATGGTCTCATCACTCAGACAACCTTAAACTTCCACAGAGTTGGCCCAAGGATAGTCTAGATGCTCAAAATTTCGCAACAAAATCCCCATATTTTAACGGATTGACTTGAAAATTTGTCAAACCCACTCTATTATGCGCTTCAAGAGCTGTTAAAATGTCTGGGGACACCCTTTCTTTAGTTATGGTAGATTTTTCCAAAATGGTCCAAGTGCTAAGTGAACAGGCAAGCGAGTGCGATTGCGAGACACGAATTCACATCTGAATTTTGCTTAAGAAGCTTGTTTCTGTGGATGTATAATCATGACCCATAATAGGAGGTTTACAAATGTGTGCTTTTTAGCATCTGAATATTTTCTGAATGTTCATGAACATTAATGCATTCCCATGCCTTCCCATAAACGTTCTGGTGCTGGCACCCACGCGCACCGAAGAACTTCAAAATCATTGCCTTTCCTTGTGATATAACGTGAAAGGTGAATAACACCATTTCTTTCCCAGGTGCAATGTCACCTGTCACCTGTTGGAAAGTTCGCAATGTATTATTTGGTTCGGCCTATACATACAAGTAAATCGCAGGAAATCAGTCACAACTCGGTCAGGAAACCTAGTAACCCGTTTCGACTGCAACTGAATAAAGTTTTGAGAGAGTACATGGGGCATAATGAACGATTTTTTCGGATTGAAATTGAGTGCGGCGTAGAGGCGTAGAAGAATATGGATGAGTTGAATACTGATTTTGTTGCATTTTGTTGAATGCGTCTGAATTTTCCACAACATTGGCTGTTGAAGGAAAAATAACGGAAATGATTATGAATTGCACTTCAGTTTAGAGCAGGATCACATAGCAATAATTTTGCAAGTGGACACCAGGAGGTTCCTAAGATTTGCATGGGAATGGCTGAAAAACTCTTGTACATTCATGTCAATTTTATATTGCGAAAGATACGGACATTTTCCCAAGTCCTGTTAAGATTTCACGATGATCCGTCAAGAGAAACTGAATTTTTAAGCAAAACTCAAACGTGGGTTAGTGACTCGCTAAGGCACCAGCCTGCCTGCTTAATGAACATGTTGACCCTTTCCACAAAATCTGCTATAATTCAAGAAAGAGTAGTCCAAGATGCATTAATTTAAGGGCTCTTGAAGAAAATAATAGGAAATATTTCGTTAAAATTTACTGTCAATCCCTTAAATATAAATTAATTTTTTAAGCAAAACTTCGTGTGGCTTGCTTTTTGGCCAGCCCCGTAGTTTGAGCGTGCGCTTGAATAACTCGGCGGATATTAATTTTGATAGCATCTTTGCACAAAAATCAAAGGCATTTTTTGAGTCTTAATTAAATATTTTACGCGAAGACACTGCGTTTCCCCTCCTGGCTTAATCCTGGATTCTTGGAGTGTAACAATAACTAGTATCTGATGAAAATTCATGTGTTCTGAATTTTGGAAGGAAAATTCTCTGGACCCAAACGCCCATCGTAGCGAACACTTCCTTCGCATGGACGTCTGAAGTCCGATTCATCATTCCACTTGGAGAGATGAATCAGACTTGAGATTCTCAGGACCGCTATCATATTATTAGGTCAGTTAGATCAAGACATGGGAATCGTCCTTTGTTTCTATCTTCTCTATGCATGGTCCTCATACAACTTTCTATTTTATTCCCAATGACAATTGAAGGTTTGAATTTTGTACGATTAACTGAAGACATGAAATTCCCTGTTTCTCGATACTGCGTATGAGATATCACATATACAACATCAGTGCAAAATGAATTTTTGATACGTGAATTCCCCTAAGATGCATCTATAATGTTAATTTCGGATTCACATTCCACAGGTGTACGTGGGAGCAGATATCGAGGAGAAGTGGAAGAAAGCAAAGAATGATTACATTCATGAGCAATATCCTAAAGCTGGAAAAACATCATATTCTATTCCATCTGAAAATTTTTCTAAAGAATGGGATTTTAACCCTGCATCACCAGACAATTTTGACGAGCCTCCAGATGATACTATAGCTGTTGCTCTTGTTTTTGCTCGCATCAAGAGATGCTTTGAAGGGGAGCCGTCGTTGGTCATCTTTGATCAGAAGTTCTGCAGAACTCTCAATGAGTCCATATTCAACATGCTGGGAGGAAAATTCGATATTTCTGAACTGGACAGAAGAAGTGATCACTCCATTTACTTGACTTATCCTAGTGCTGATAAAGTTTACAACATCTTCTTTCAAGTTCAATCAACTTCAGCAGACGATGTGAAAAGAGAACCTGACATTATAAGGCAAAGGGTCTTTGAAGCAATCAGACAATATGAACATCATAGGACAGTATTCTCGAGGGTGTGCGGGCCATTTATTGGATCTAGTGCTGTAGTCGTTGGATTCCCATCCTTCCCCTTCATTGAGAGGGGCGCTTTGCAGAATTTTATAAAATGTGATTCGTGTTTATCCAAAGTATTGACAAGAGATGATATGCAGGACTCAAAACCTCTTCATGAGTTCCTCATTCGGAACGGTGTCCCAGACATACCGAGTGCTGTGTACAATCAAAACGTAGATGAATTGTTCTGCAGAATATTCACCATACAGGTTTGCGTATCTTCATCCGTTGAAGCGCCATGGACTCCTAACTCCAAACTTCATGAGAAGGAAAAATCCCTCTGTATTTTGACTCCGGAACAGAAAAGCCTTGTGGAAAACAGATCAGAATGCGTATTTATAGCTGGAGGATCGGGCACGGGAAAAACTCTTGTCCTGAAAGAGAGAGCAATGCGACTATGCATGAACGACACAGAAGAAGTGCTAGTGGTGAATCTCGCGGGAGGACTTCTCACACAAGATTTCAAGCACCACTTTCAAGGTTAATATTTCAAGTTTTTGGAAACCTAGAGGCACAAGGATTCTTGTTCTCCTCGTAACCATTAATCTAATATGCTGGGTGGACAGAAAGTTCTTATGGGGTTTCATGCCCATATATCTTGGGAACGGGGTTGCGTAGAAATGTGCGACATGCATCTTACAAAAGGTTATTTTGTAAATTGGTATATGACACACTAAATCATACATCTCACACTTCCACATGTCCGTCTACACGTCCACATGACATTCATGTAAAGTATGCAAGCTACCTTCTAGAAAACTTATCCAGAACTGCTCCCAATTGGGACTGCTCTCCCAATGCATGTGCACAAATCAGCCACGCTTTGCGTGCGTGTAGCATACACCATGTTCTCAATATGTCCTCACATATGGGAGTCTCTAGGGGTCAGGTCTGGGGACCTGGGAGGCAATAGGATGAACATTCCCCATTCCATCCATCGGTCTGAAAACTTTTCATCCAAAATGGTCCGATGGTCTCCTGACCTGACACCTTACTTTCATTTATGAAGTTGAATGGAGCAATTTATAAGGATCAGACATAGGGACCAGTGACCAGGGGTCAGATATGCCTGGAAATTGGCTGTCAACACATTGAGCCAATTTGTAGAGTAAATTCCTTGTTTTCATGATTTTAAATTTCGCCCTATTATTCATTTGATACCGTGGTAATTGCAAGAAGTTGTTTCAATTAGGTCGAAAGGCAAACATCCTCAAATTTTAGTTCGAATTTATTTCCCATTCAAATGAAAAAAAAATTTTTTAGCACCATATCCGGAAATATGGAGATGTAAAACTTGGTGATCCTGTGGTTTTTTGGCGTATCGATTTAAGAAAAGATTTCTTGTACAGATTTATCACAACAGGGCACTTTTGCGATTGGTAATTATTTTAATGAACATCTTTGCTTCAATGAAACGAAAGGACAGAATGCTGAAACTCGGTATGGAGATGATGATGAGATATAGCACTGGAAGGAAATCATGCTTTTAGGATGCAATTCCCCAGGGCACTCATTTTTAAGTAGACTTTCCCTATGACACTTTTTTGTCCCAGTGAAACGGGGACATAAAGGAAACAAAAGTTCTGTGAACATGCTGTTCTATGAAAATTGCCTTCAAGGAAATACTAGCTTTCGAAATCGTCCCCTTGGAACACAACTTTTTATATGAGGACTTTTCTGAGAATATTGTGGCTTCGGCGAATCTGGCAACTTGGGAAACTGGAACTGGGAGTATTTCATTCAAATCGATTTTCTGCTAGTTTTTTCACTGCAGTAAAGTGGGGAAACGTATACATCTTCAATTTCTTACATTTTCAATGCAGATAAAATCATAAGGTTGGGATCTTGCCTTCCTCGAGGTCTCTTTCTTTTGGGGAGGGGAGAGGGATTGGTAGCTTTGCACAATTTCGCTAAGGGAAAGCGGATTCTTGGTCTTCCTATGAACGGCACTGTATGAAGAATAAACATTAAGGTTACATTTCAAGGGATATGAAGACTCTCTGCTCGCTTCATCTTGTTTGCATCTGGCTGGAAATGATTTCACGCAACTAAGTACCCTAAACGCAGAATTAGAAAAACGTATGACCCAAGGTGTATTACCACATTTGTAGATATGAGAATCGTGAGTTATTGAATGATTGACGCTTATTTTAACCATGTTCTAGAAATGACAAGAGGCTCGAATAAAGAACACGTCATTTTTCGCTAGGAGATGCGATGTGGAAATTACTCGTTCTAGTTGCAGAGCTTAAGCGCTTCCCCTTGTGCTTCCTACATTATCATAGAAGGATGTCCTTCGGGACATCACCCTATGATCATGTAAGAAGGGACTGTGATTTCGGCCGTGATGACTGTAGAAAGCATACGTCCCTTCCCTTCTGGAAATTGTAATTTGTCCAAAGTCGCATGTCTCCGCGAAATCTCCCGCATTTTAAAATCAGAATGAAATGTGTGAAGAAATATACGTGTGTCTGTCCCAACAGAGACGAAAAGGATTGAAGTTATCGATGGGAGAGAGAAGAACCTGGAGAAAGATCTGAATACCTTCAAGACGTTCCTGCAATACCATGGAATGGACAAGCACGTTCTCATAGACGAGGTTCCCCTTACATTGGGGTTTAATGGTGTCATCTCGCCAGAAGTCCTTTATAATCATTGGAGATGGATTCTGAATATAAAGAGGCACCTGAAGTCAATCACTGTCTCCTTCAGAACAAATGATCAGTCTTATGTCAGGGATTTCCTGCTTAAGGAATTCAAATCTGAAAGGGAAAGCCCTATCAAAGTCCTCCGCAAAGTAAAGAGGAATAGTAAAGCTATATCAGAGCTCTTCTTGGCCATTGGTGATTTCTCTAGGCGGGTTTTCTTATCTTCTGAAAATTCCTTGAAAATGGATATGACGGTCTGCGATGGATATATTCCTCGCTTATTCGCAATTCCCTCATGTCAGGTCCTCCATCGCGAATGTAAGAACAAAGCAGTTTGTGAGGCAGTGAGGGTCTTTGGTGCTATTCAGACCATTTATGAAGAATGCTCTAAGGCAACTAATAAGATGGCGGTCTTCATCGTTGTGAATGACGAGATGAGGAAGAATGCTCTCGTGAACATTCTTGCATCCTCCAACCGTCCCATCCCTTTCCTCTTCAACGGCCTAAGTACCACATGGAGATGGTATGGAAAGTCCGCACCAGGGGATTCGTTCCCCCTCGTCGTCGTCACTGAAGACGAAATGATAGGGAGTCATGTGAAGAACGTCGTAGTCGTTGTCGATTTCCCAAATTCAAAGTGGAGAAACTATTGTCGACTGATAGCAACCACCGGCAATAACAAGATCCTTGTACTTGAAGAAGAGGATCTGATCACAGGAAAGTTCTCTCATGTCAAAGAAAAAATCCCGGAAATGAGATACGACCCAGTTTCGAAATGTGATGACGTACATGTAAATCTAGAAAGTGCTTGGAAACGGAATGGTAAGGCGATTAATGAACTGGAGTGGAGTGACTTTACCCCAGCGTCCTCGCCGCCACTTATCGAACTTGATGGGAATGTATGGGAAAAGGAGGACGAAGAGCACTCACAAAAGATGCTGCAATATTGGTTCACCGGAATATTTGGCTGCCCGGCCTCAGGGAAATCCAGGAAAATAGATACGTTGATTCGACGAGTAGTGCAGCTGGGAGGGCGAGTCCTTCTTCTCCACTGTGAAAGGTCGCTCACTCGGAAAGTCTACCGACAGGGCTGGAATTCGCAAGAGAACGTGGAGATTGTTTATTTTCCATGGCAAATCACTTCTCTTCAGGACATAATCGACAGCTTCGAGGTTAAGATGATGAAGGAGAAGGTGGGGACAGATTCTTTGGTTGTAATCGTCGATGACTGTCCCATATGGAACGCTATAGTGCATGAGTTAGAAAATGTTGCGATATGGTTGAAGCAAGAAAATATGAGGCTGATTCTCTCATTCCAGTCGCACTCGAAGAATGCGAACGATATTTCCCTGGAAGAAATCATGGAAGTGCTGGAAAATAGCCAGAACTGCACAGCCATCCGAATCAATACTCAGCCGACGGACGTGCGACTCATGAGTCACGTGCAAGAGAATGAGACCTCCACGCCTTTAAACTTGATGGCAGGAAACTTGTATACTTCCTCGATACCCAGTACTTCTGTTCGAGAAGACGTCTTATTCATGAAGTACGCATGCTCAGGAAGTCATTGGGGGTACATTTGCAGAGGAAAAGAATCACATGCTCTTTGTATTGGGAACCAGAAACCTGTCCTCTCCCATTTCCTCGAATTTGCCCTTTCTCAGGCACGTGAACATGAAGAAACTCATGTTTTAGTCTTAGATGACCAGCAGTTGTCGGCCTTAAAGACGACCTTCACCAAACACGACTACCTTAGCTTCACCCATCCAAAGGATTTTCGTGGCTGTGAGAGTTCCGTTGTGATCTCCATAAATGCCACTGATGAGTGGTTGCTGGAAACCACATCAAGAAGCAGGTTGCAATTGATTGTAATAGACAACAACCCATCTCATGTTGACTTATGGGACGCGATGGTGAAAGAAAAGCGTGTCCAGCCCCTGCACGTGGGCTTTCCTAAAGATAAACAGAACAGCTGCATTGACCGGAAAACACTCCTAAGCCTTGATGATGAGAAAAAGTTCCTCAGGGTGAGTCTTTCTTTTGTTTCCCTTCTTTTTTGTTCATTTCGTAGTTGTATACCTATTCTATTCAGCCTTCAGGCATATTAAGGTCTGCCTGTCACAATGGAGAACCTCCTAAGTTTCAATTTCATAGAAACACTGGTAGATAATATTAAATGGAAGACGAAATGGCTTACGTCTCATACTGCATATGCTATGATTGCAGTAGACAAAATTGCGCAATTAACAAAGAATGCCCAATCAAGGAATATCATGAAGCGACCATCCGATTTCTGGTGAGTGAAGGGACACTATGTATGGACATACCTACATCATCGAATGGGCATGCATGGAGAAAGCTGTACTTTAGTGCCAACTGCGTAAACTTGCGCTATGCATCCTAGTTGTCACTAAAGCGAAATTTCCGAGACCGACAAAGTGATCGGTGCATAAAGACGAGTGTTGGAACTTCCCATCTCTGAAGGGATAAGCATCAACATCGACAGCGTTCAGGCCGTCGTGTCTTTTGGTATCCCATGGTCAGTAGTCTAGTGCCGGAACGCCCACATGTTGCATGACTTAGGTGTTCTGGCACCTGCTTGATGACGTGTAAAATCTGAGCGGCATTCACACAAACCTATCATAAACGATATCATAGGGAAGGTGACACCTTTCAGCAGCAAATGGGAACCGAAAACAAGGCACTCTGGAGTAGCATTTTGGCTCATGGTGCCAAAATGCTACTCCAGAGGGCAAACGCTAGAGCCTGGATTGGGAGCACTATGGGTTGCTACTTTTGTTGGCGATGTACTCCACTGACATCGTGATATTCACGATGTTCTCCAGAGCAATTAGCCCCTTTGATTTAGTTTCATGACGGGTGAGCCGATGGTGAATGCGAAATACATGCACACTAGCCTATTGGCACAATTTAGAAAGGCCAGGTAGAGCAAGCGTCCAGGTTGTCTATGTTGCGCAATGTAGAATCTTGAGGATGTGAGTGTGAGGTCCTTGAAAGCCCCCCACGAAATCTTTTCCTCTAACCTTGAATTTTCAAGCAATCTGGACGATGTAAATGCATCCAAGAAAATATGTACTTCAGATCAGACTAGGTGTTGTAGAACGTTGTCAGACTTCAGTGTCGGCGGCTGCCACAATCCTTCCCGAGGACCAGAATGACCATGCTAATGACACATCAGGACAATCACTTTAATTCTGTGGAGTATACTTCGAACAGAGCGTAATGGTTCCTGCATGTACCCCATACTTTTTAGTTTCATTTGATCAGTACCTTTACCTTATCTGTGTTGCAGTGCCCGACCTGGAATGAGGCTGCAAGTCGTATGGGTGAAGAAGCAGTAGAAAGAGGTGGTATCCTTGACGAGGACACCGGAGTCATCCTCACTCTCTCAGAAGAGACATGGGCAGCCATCGACGAACACATTTCTCGATCTTCTTCCTCCCCTTTCACAGATTGGGGATATGTGTGGGTCGGTAAGTGAGGAATTCAAAGGAGAGAAGATTACCTGCATTTGTGATTTAACGGAGCATTAACTGAGGCAGATGTGTCCCATAGAGTGTCTACCTTTGTGTCCAGCTCCTTCACTTATGAGGCAGTATTCATAATTGTATCGATATGTTCTTTTATATGTTCTATGTTTTTTTTGTTGAATTACAACATGCAAAACTCTAAATTAGCTATGTGTAATATATTCCTCGCTAGCGCTTCCACATTACGGTCGCCCCATCGGCGCTTGACAACGTGAGAAAGTATTACTTTGGAAATTCGTTTTCGATCAATGTGATGAAATCAATTGAATTGTAAGTTACCTGTATTCTTCTGTAAATTTACTTCTCAACCCCCCCAAAACTGTATTATTATCAAGTATAAAATAACTATCTTTCCAGGTTTTTACTGCAGAGAAAATGTCTTCGGAAGGACATTTTCATTGAAAAATTTACCTCGACATCCTCATGAGAAAAAATGCTTCCAATAAATTAGCATACAGGGAAATACTTGTTCATGACACTTCAGATTTCTATATGTGCCTGATTCAATAAAGCAATATGTATCAAATAGCATCTATCTTTAAAAAAGAAATTAGCCTGCAGCGATATACAGCATACCCCATGGGGATGCGGAATTTAAAAACATTTAGCGACTAAGAACACAGGTCACTGAGGCCACTCAGGTCTCTCAGTCACGATCGTCTGTGTATATTACACTGGATGTAAATCGGTACGGACAAATGTGCAATATATTGCACGCTGAACAGCGCATCATTTAGCACTGTCCATTGTGCTCTAGCAGAAACAAATTATATCGCCATGGTTTGGAGAGATGTCGTGATGAGAAATTTTCATTCCCTTATTATCTCACAAAAAGTCAGGGAGATAATAATTGTTGAGATGGTAAGCACTTATGTGGTTTAAGAGGGCATTTAAATTGGAGGAGACCAAGTACCAAAAACAAGGTACTACTATTTGCATAAAAGATCACTTTCCCCTTCTACTCTTAATATTCCCACCCTCTAAAAAAAATTGTATTTTATCCTCTCTCACTCACCCCTCCTCTGTATTTCTAGGAGAGGATGGGGAGGTGCCTCGAGTTGATGAGGAAAAGAGGAAGAGAATACTTGATAAGCTAAGGCAGAGCGGGGTAGAGTGGGAAGAAGACTACCTCCCAACACCCCTTGAGATGAAGGGGATGAAGAAAGGGTGTGGAGTGTTGGAGTCTCTCTCTCTGACCCTCACAGGGTCGTTACTTCACCTTTCTCTCTTGGAGGTATTTTTCTATTCATCTCTTACTATTGTACGTGGTACATTCTACTAACATTTTTCACATTCCCTGCTCCTATAGATATTCATTGCCTTCAATATGTGTGGTCATTAAAGACGAACATTAGGCCTTATTCGATAAAAGGCAGAACTCATCCAGATTTTGATAAAAATTGTTTGCCATTTAGCCATCATCCCTAGTCGTCGCCTAATCACTTGCAAAGAAAGGCAATCCATTGTCGCATGATTTCACTAGACGCATTCTGGAACTTGAAACTTACCATAGGGTGAACTTGAATCAGTATGGGACTATTTTCATCTCCCTTACGTGAGTGTACAAATAGCAAACCCATTGGCGAGTATCAAGAATGAGCTCCTCTTATCTTCATTATGAGGAAAATTAGAGAAATATAATGGTGATTAAAAGAAACGCCTCTCCTCCTTCTACGGGAGAAGCACAAATTCATGAATGCAGTGAATTAAAGATTGGGTATGAGGTCGATATTGAACAGTTAGAAGGTGTTCAGATGCTTGTCGGTTTTGTTTCAGTACCTCTGCCTAAGTCGTGAAATGCCAATCAGAACGCAATGAAATTTGGCAAACGATTGGATAATTATGAGAATAGCAAGCAGGCAAAAACCTATGTTCTTATACTTCAAGCCGAGGCCGAGAAGAGTGAGTCTTAATATGATCATGGGGCGTAAATGCTCCTAACTCCAATTTATTAAATTCCTGGTTGCACAGTTATTATGTTACCACCCTATTTCGATTGATCATAAGTTTTCAAGGGATGCTTGGACGCAGCTGATATTTGTCAAAGTGGTACATGAGCCTAAGAGGTTTATCTCACATCTGCAAGATGGTGCTGTATGGGCGGTAGGGGTATATAATAATAGGGGGCGGTGTTGTTGATTGGAGGACCCTCTGTCTTCTTTCTGTGCACTTTTAGGTATGAAAATAAAACACTTGACAGACCCATGAGCCACTCTGCAAAATATCAGCTGCATCTCAGAGCCCCTTCAAATGATTTGGTCCTGAAACCAACTAAAATTTTAAATTTATTCGAAATCGGCTTCAGGCGAAAACTGGGCAAACTATTTTAATTAAATTTTGAGATGATGGATCATTGCTGCTTTTGAGGTGCACTGATCCACCAGTAAAATATGGAACGTGAAAATGCGTAGCTCAAAAATTTATTTTTAAAAAAAGAAGGAACCAATCGAACATCTTGTTTCTGCCCAATGTCAACTGTTTTTTAATGTTATCATTTTTGCTTATATAAGAATATAGTAATCTTACCTTCTCCCATGGAAAACGGTGGGACTTTTTAAAATTCACACTATTCATATATAGAAACTCATTTCTTGGAAGCCCCAGAGATCCCATGTACATGAATTCGAATTCCTCGAACGTACTGTGAATTTTTCGTTTTGGCGCTACTTGGAAATGTTGGCTACATTTTTGCATTGCAAAATGTTTTAATTGTGACGACACATATCTTCTGGTAGTGTGATGTCAGTGGAAAAATAAACTTGCAATCAAATTACCAACATTGACCAGCGTGACCAGCGTGACCAGCTAGTTGACACGCTGCACACCCTTCACCCTTTTTACGACAAATCAGTAATTTCGTTTTCTAAAGAAAAGAGTAAGGACAATTGTGGGGGTATTTTTTTTCAAAATTTCATCTTAAAAAATGAGTTGAAACAACTTACATCAAATTGAAGCTATCGAGGGTCAATAAGAAATAATATTGTCTTCATAGAAAGGAGAAGGTGGTTTTTGTTCCCTTCTGCGGAGGCGTGTCTCCATGCCTATCATTTTCACTTTCATCGCCAATATTATCTGATTCAGGGATATTCAAATTGCTCAAAATGGCATTCATGTCGTCATTATTCTATCCACCGATTCATGATCCTGATTCAACAAATGATGAATTAATATATTCTTCAGCAACACGTTGCTAACTTGAAGGACTTGTGGAGCACTGGTATCATTACAACTGCACCTCACATTTTATCAATTCAAGGCGTAAAGGGACTTGTAAATGGATCCGAGAGATGGCGGAGCCTTGAATCATGAATTTCTGTCAATATTGATAGATTTCGGGAAGGTTTCCTCGTCTTCTACCTGATTTCTAGATTAAGAAACACAGCCTTTTGTAATGCGTGGACAATGCTTCATCACCCGCCGCAAAAATTCCGCACAAGTACTTCGTTGAAAATAAGACACTTGGGGCGATTTCCGCCAACGACTTCATGGGATAATAAACTTTATTATTGATGTACCCACTGCAGAAAAACGGCAAACAATTTGAACGCTTTCGAAGTGGGACGGGTTGGAGGACAACTAGCTTCCCATGAAAATTTGCAAAAAGATTATGTAAACTCCATTAAAATTTTCTGACGGATGTACCTCAAAAATAACATCCCTTCTTAGTTACCACCAATTTTATTATTTGTTTACTAATTTTCAGGTCTCATTTACGTATGGCCATTTCGAAACATTTTCCTGGAAGACGTCTCTCAAAATAATGTGTCCCTGATTTTTCCCGAACTCACCACCCAACAGCTATCTACAGTAGGTACCAAGTTTAAACTCTCTATTATGCAATTAATAATAAAATTTGCATCCGTCACTCATTCAGACGCTGACGATCATATGGGAATTTATAGGGTTTTGTGAATTGGAGCAGGTATTTTAAACTGTATGTCTCGCCTTGACTGGAAATAATTTCAAGACACTCTCACTGAATATACACTAGCATAATCCCAAGAGAGCCGAACCCTTCATCAAAATTAACTTTCCAGAGCAGGACCATAATCGACTATTCAATAAAAGTTCAGGCCTTGTTTGTCCTTTCGATGATATAATGGAAATTCCACTCATTTCAAACTTATGACTGCATGTCTTCATACCATCATTCCATCCACCTCTGATAAACAGTGGCTCCAGGATAGTTTTTCTTCAAAGTATGTTCATAGATGAATATTAAAACCTAGGTTGAACAGATGTAATGAAAAAAACTGGTCAATATCCCTGAAGAGATGTCACACTGTCTCTTAAGAAATTAATTTTCATGAGCACTGCCGAATATCGTGATTTCACTTACTGAATAACTAACCTCTTACACCTAAATCCGTCAAAATCAGAGAAAACTCTTCTCATGGCTTATTCGCCAAGAATTCATCTTGTTCATTATAAAGTTAAATATATGATTTGATGGATACTTAGATCCCAGGTTATGTTAAACCTCCAGAGAAATGGAATCTCTAATAGCATACCTTTTAACAGAAGAGATTGGGAAAGGAGGATTTGGAGGATCCTCTTCCTTTGATCCAGTCTGCAGCTGATCTTCTAAAAAGGTCTATTGTCCTCATTGGGGAAAATAATTCCTGTGAGTCGAACATGTTATTCCCTTTGTATTTTTTCCTCATAACTTCTTCCGTGATTTGCCCCTCTCTGATGCGGGCGACGTTGTCCTTCATAAAACTGACTCGCCCGCATGATACTTGGGTTACTTGTATTTCGTTGTTTCTTGTTTTGCCCGAATAAGTGGATACAATTTGTTACACATACACATTTGCTCAAGGTCTATAGAATCAAAATCTAAAATAAAAATTTGCCTTTTTTGGTTCCATTCATAGCACAAAAAACGGATAAGTGGTTTTTAAAAAAAAGTATAGCCAACATTCCATTATTTGTGTTCCGTTTTCGTGCTGTGAGTAATACCATGTGATGCATATCCAACACGGGAAAAATGATTTCCCTATTCCGCATGAATCCTATAACTACTAGTGACTGTAGTACTAATACTACGGCTTCAAGAAGACCCATAACCATGAAAGCAAATTGGTTGGTACCCGCTTATTTGGTGAGTTTATGTTTTTAAGGTATCTCTCGGGTAATATTACCGTTACATGGATATTAAATTGGTTCTCTAGGTACATTTCTATCTCAAGAAGAAGGGAAGGAGGAACAATTGGGGATACTTCTCTTTGCCTGGGATTCGGAGCGGCCGATTCAAATCACCCCTCTGCCACAACAACTGCAAGAACTGCTTCAGTTAACACCATTGCAGCAACTACGAGAACTGTTGCAGCGGCGACGATTGCGACCACCTAGACAAATGGATCATCTACCTGACTTGCTACTCCTTTTACAACTTCCGCAAATGCAACAAGTACCAGAACTGCCACTACTGCCAGAATTACGAGAATTACTGCAGCCGACAGAAATGAGACAAATATTACACCTGCCAGAATTACGACAGTTGCCAGAGTTACGATGGCCACTAGAACTTCGTCAAATGCTGCGACAAACACAACCGCATCAACTGGCACAACTGGAACAACTGCCCGAGCTGATCCATCTGGAACAAGTGCAACAACCACAAAATACTTGTTTGCCAAAACTGTCATGTAAAAACTGGCAGCAGCATCCACAATTGGAACAATTACCGCGAATGATACAACTCTCAGAAGTACAAAAACTTCTGGAACTCCCTTCGCTGCAACGGTCACAGCAAGGAACAATACTTCCGCCTGCAGAACTTCATCAACAGGCAACAATTTCAGCTCTCCAACAACCGCTACAACTGCCTCAATTGATACAACAACGACAATGTAGATCTATGTCTGTCTCTCTCTCTCTTTCTCTTTCATGGCTTCTCTGGGAAATATACAATTGAATTGGTGGGTTTTCAGACTGGTCATGCGGAAAAAATCATATAGGATGCTATACATTTTTGTAAACATAAAAATATGTTTTGATTCCAACATGAATCTAAGAAGATCCTATAAGAACCATTTAATATATTTATGTTTTAATTATCTTATTAATTTCTTTAGAAAATATTCGTACGTGTCAGTCCATGGCAAAAAAAAACAGGCTTAATAACAACTGAGCTTCATGCTTGCACTCGAATACATTCAAAGAAAATATGGGTGTAAATTGGGGTAGGTAGAGACTTGCACCAGAATTTATTGAAAAGACTCGTCTCAGTGCATACGATTCAGGGTTTGCTCATGGAAGATTCTCTTTCTAGTGGGAGGCTTGATTTCATAACGCCATTCCTGAAATTCCTTGGTATTGGAAGACATGATTTTAGCAATTACGAATCCCTTTCATTAATCTTTTCTTTAAATCTCCAATTCTCCTTCTTCCAGATAATGCGCCATGGATGTCTGTGGAGCAGCTGCCCGATGTATATGGGCAACGGCAGGTGCCCTCCTCGCTGCGTAGAATCGTCTTCCGCGGGAAAGTAGCTGTGTCATGGCCCTGGCACACAATACCTTTCCTGTGGGACCTGGACAGATACATGGCTGGATTACCTCCCTTTGGCCTAGGTCATAAGAAAATAGGTTTTTTCCTCCTTCCCTTTCATGCTCCTTTGCTATCATTTGGAGGAGCGAGACGAATGATCCCTGAATTTTTAAAGAAATTTGGGTAGCAGCCACCTGCGTCCAGAAACCGGCTCGTTGTGTCTTGATGACAATGAAAGAACTGCATTCCATAAAACTGTACAGACATTGTGCTCTCCATCTACAGAGAAAGACAATGATTTCTAGGACAGGGGGATGACTTCAATGAGAGTATACATGATGGAGAACACCTGTTTCGGCTGAGGTATTTCCTTTCCTATTGATTAGATCAAACATAATATTTAATCAGCACGAAACTTCTTCAGATGAACTGTAAGAATAAAATGTTGGGCATGTTCAGAGTTATTGGCGCGCTGCAGATGAAGAGCCAAATCCAGATGAAGAATTGAGGAAAATGAAATCCAATGATATGATAGCCTTTTCAGGCCTTCAACTTTTCTGAACACAAATATCCCATATTTCCATTTCAAAAATTTCTTGCTCTTAGGTAGAGTGAAAATCGGTAGGACACGACAATAAGGATAACTGATTCTGAGATATTCATTTCATGGGAAATTCTAATTCAAAAGTGTCACAAGGGGATCAACATGGCATGCACCGCAAATCTTGCACATTTTTCCTTGTTATTGAAGAACTCTCAATGATGCATGAAGTGATCTCTTAGCAGAACCATTCCAGTGATGTCTAATTTTAATAGAGTGATTTTGAGAATTGTGCCATTGTTGGTAGCATGTCACACTTAAATTAGTAAAATGACGCGTGCTACTCAACGACATTGTCCATTCTCACATGCACAGTCTCTCCTTTCCGGGCCTCTTTCAGACCCTCACTCCTGGCCAGTCCTTATATTTTTTAAAGAATCGATCAGTGCGTCTCGAAATCAAGTTCTCCATACCCCGAGCTGATACCTGCCCTGGTTAACATTTTCCTACTAGAAGATGCATTCTTAGTGGACTCCTAGTGGATTCTAAGTGGATATCTAGTTGCCACATGTTAGTTAGGCCATTAAGCGTAGTAATGAGGGACTACCGACCGAAGGGTCCCTGACTTCGCAAGTAAAGTGCAACGTTGACTCCAACTTTGTATAATAAATTTCCCCTAGTACCTCATCAACTTTCTTTGGGGACTTAACGTTTGCATATTTCCATGGAATTTAAATGAGGATAAATGACAAACTTAAGTTGAATTCAATTAAAGCTATACCTTAGTAAAGTTTCATCACAAGATCCATACTTTTCAGTCTAAGCAGTGGTTGTTGTGGTTTGCATTTGTATTTGTCGTATTTTGCACTAAGCAGGCGGAGAAATATTTGCAAGTGGAAGATTATTATGCTCGTTTTCTAACTTGGTCAAAATTTGAACTATAGTTTTTGGTTGCTTAAAAATGTGTGTTTCAATGATAAAATTGTGGCTATTCTTTTCATCAAACGTTTGCTATCGTAAAATTGAATTCCATTAACATGCTCAGTTCTCCCTGAATACCTTAAGTGCTAAATATCTTTAAATAGTTACGTTACGTGTTCAGTTGAAGTGATGCAAAAGACTTTGCAATAAGTATTATTAAACGTTGCAAACTTTCTCGCACGTATTTCTGCCACCTTGGGAAATTATTTACCCATGATGTTTTGGGAACCGTTTCGATTATGAGACCGAAAGTTTGCATGCATACTATTCTTCCAAATGCCAAGAGAGTGGAATTTTGTAATAATAATAATTATAATACTAATAGGGAATTATTTCGGAGTGGTCAAGCTATGAATGCCTTAATTGTTTTCGGAGTACCAAATTGAAAGGTCTCATCAGCAATTTGCATTCTATGGTCATAAGCACTCTCACACATATTAATAGTTTCAAAAGAGCCCCAAACTCGAAAGGGAACAATTTTGATAATTTATTATTAATAAATATTTTATCGACAAGGCGTGAAATTCACGGACTAGCCGTGAAATTCGAACCATCCAAATACACATGCAGAGGATGTAGTAGACTGTTTCCCCTTTCCCATTAATATCCTTTCCCTATTCATCTCCTCTTTCTCTTGCAGATGAATTGAAGAAGCATAAGGAAAGACAATGGGAATGATGAAATTGGGACGACATCTACCACCCTGGTACTTCCATTGAAGCAAGACTATGAAGTTAAAAATCACTAAAAATTGAAAATATGTTTTGAAAATTTATTTGCCAGTGACATTCTCACAGCATTCAGCTTTCAGGAAAACCTAGTTTCGGTATGTTGCTATCACGACTTTGAATTCTTTTGCTGCCCTTTTCTGAATAATTTTCGTAAAAAGTAACAACCATTTTTGAACGCGAAAATTTTTCCAAATAATGTATTTAGCTGAACATTTTCCATGAGTTCCACACATTACAGTCTCAAATGGCTTTTCGCACTTATATATGTATACCCCACCACCCAAAAAAAAACACTCCAGCTGCCCACATCAAGCAGAATACTTGACTGATGCACTTGACTTCATGCAACTTTAGAATTACAGTATGGGGTAAAAAAAAAAAAACATTCTTACAACCCCAAAGTCCATCATGTCACAGCAAGATGATGGACGAAATGGCAGAAATTTCAATGCTAAAGTAGAAAATCCCTGGGGAAAAGAAAGGAAAGGAAAGTGATATTGTCTCACCCTGGAAAGGGTGAGACAATATCACTTTACCCTTTTATGCCAAACTGAAGAAAATACTCCAGCTATTTCTGATATCAGTGTGAGCCATGATGGAACCTGGGCAAAACGAAGATTCACCTGATTTTTTAGTGTTAGTTGTATAATTGGTGTATATAAAGGCATTGTGATGGAATATGATGCTGTATCTAAATCTTGTCATGACTGTAGCAAGCCTACATGTGGACTTGGAAGGGAGTCACAAGGTTTGCATGCTTGGTTTTGTGATCACAAAGGGAACTGTGATGCGAATTATTCTGGAACGTCTCCTGAAATGGAACCCTTCATGCTGAAGCGTTGTGAAAGAGATCTGAAGCAATGGACTTCAAGTATGTCACTGTTCTTAGTGATCGTGATTCGCAAATTTTCATGAATAAAGTAAATGCATAAATTAACAAAGCAAAAGGAAAACTCAGTCGAAAGAGTTCACAACTAGCTGGGTCAGAAGATTTTAGAAGAAAGAAGAGGGCCATAAAGCTTCAGAAAATAAAAAAGCTGCACAATAGAGCAGGAAGGCGCGCAGTACAGAGCTGGGGAATAATAAATAAAATTTGGACTCTTTTGTATTGTGAAACTATGAAAATCTTTTAAATAAATTTTCCTGACTTTTGGAAATAAGTGTGTATACATTGACTATTTTCCAAGTTACACCTACCATATTAGTTCCAGAAACCAGACATTTCGCATGAGCACTGGAAAATGACAAACCTGAAATGTGTTTTGAGCAGTATGGAATATATTTATTTTTATGACTGAGGTAGGAGCTAAGAAGCAACTCCCATCAAGTATTCGAATAACAAAAGAAATTGGTCATTGTTGGATGGGAAAATTTGGAAAAGTGCCTTTTACGCTCCCAACCTTCTGTAGCTGTATGTGTTATCATGGAGACCCTGTGAATTTGTAGAAATTTGGTTTACTTTTTTAGCTGTGACTTGGAAATTGCCACATGTACTAACATTTTAAGTTCATCGAGAATAACTCAGGAACTGCTGGAGCTTGATGGAAAATTA